TTTTTTTTATCTTTTTATCTTTTTATCTTTTTTTTTTTTTTTCTATTATTTTATTTTTTACAAGCCGCACGAACGAATGCGTGGCCTGTTATACCAGCAATAATGTCGTAGTAACACCTCCGTCGGTGTGACAGTGTGACTTAGGCCAGGCAAGTCCCGGTAACTGCAACGGGAGACCTCTTGCAACCTAGGCCATCCGCACCTGCTTGACCACGATTCCTCGGTTCCAGTTCCTATTTTTCCTTTTCCTTTTTTCCCCCCCGGATGTCAATGCAAGTCAGAGACCCCTTTGTCCCAAAAAGAACTGCCTGATCTAGTCCTGTAGTCCCAGCCTCCAAACCACTGCATCTCCAAACCCGTGTGTCATTCATTTTGCAGGGCCCATGCTAGCCAGAGCCTTAAAATAAAATTAAAAAAAGACCAATTTTTTATTTTTATGTTTTTAATAAAAAGAAGTTGCCCAAAAGAGGCCAAGTTTAACGGATATAAGGAAGGACTTTTTGTTTACTCTATCTGAGGGAGTGGCGTTGCTCTCTGGAACCTCCTCTAAAATTGGCCTCTCTTTTTTTTTTTTTTTTTTTTTTTTTTTTTGGAAGGCTGGGGTTCGAGGGGTGATTAGTGGTCCGTCCGGTATTGTGGGCGTGACCGGTGATGTCTCGCCCATCAATTCGGCCACCTACTTTTTTGTAAGGGACGCCAGGCCTGATTCCTGGCTTCTCTAATAATAATAATATAATAATACTCTAAGGAAATAGAGGGTCTCGCATGAGCGTCCCATGCGAGCCCGGGCTGGCGCTGGGCCGCGCAAATAGACGGTCTCGCGTGAGCATCCCACGCGAGCCCGGGCTGGTGCTGGGCCGCAGAAATAGAGGGTCTCGCGCGAGCGTCCCACGCGAGCCTGGGTTGGTGCTGGGCCGCGGCTTCGCCGCAGCGGGTTCACTTGTTCATTCATATAATACGAAGAACTTCTCCCTTCAAAAAGAAATATATATTGGCCACTATCGAAAGCCAAAAACTTACCATAAAGCCAAAAGCTTACCGAAGCCGGCGAAGCTGACCAATTTTGTCAAATCAACAAGACCAGAAGGGAATAACTTTGTGAGGAAACCTTGGTGCTGCACAGATAGCACCTGCCAGTGGGAGAAGCTGCCTGCACAACATTTTCAGATACCGTTCCATCCTTTTTTT